GGGGGGGCAAACGGGACCTCTGATCACTCCTGTCCACCCCTTCCCACCACGCAGCTGCAAAGTGGACCCCAGGGCTGTGTTTCAGTGCAGCAGTGCTCCCTCCAGCAAGAGGTGCTGGGACAGATGCTGCAGGCTCTACAGGCTAATGATTCTTCGCAAGACTACCTTGCCGTGCCTCCCAGAGCACAGACACGCTCCCGGCCAGGCTGGGGAATAAATCAGGCCAGAAGTCACCTGGGTGATTTAACCACCCCACATTTCATCTAGTCAGTAAATCACCCCAGGCCCATGCTCTCATGACAAACTGCTCTGTGTGTTGTCCACACTACTGTGCAGGAATTAAACTGCACAACTCTGAGGGGAATAAATCACGCTTTCGCCAGTGCTGCTGGATCATTAGCCAAACCTGACGTGGCTGCAAAAGAATCCGGCTCATCTGGGCATGGCCCTGGGAAGGGGAGGCTGCAGGTGGGTACTGTTGCCTACAGGGCTTTGGAGGATGCTGGATGCCTGCATGGAGGGGATTGAGGGGCCAAGATCTTGCCGAGCCCAAGACAAGGCTGCTCTGAAGATTAAACCACCAGGAAGGCAGGTTTAACCCCAAAGTGGGGCTCGCTGGAGCACACGGTACAGCAAGGCACGGAGGGCAAGTCGGAGGGAGTGAGGCGGGGAGGGCATTGGGGATCAGAGCGCGTGTGGTCTTACGGGGATGTCTTTCAGAGCCTGGTTCTCAGCCTTGGGTCGCCCTTTCTTCCTGCCTTCGGTTTTGTCACTGGTTGCATTTCCTGCAAACAGACGCAGCGCACGTCACCCACCATCCGGCCAGCCGTGACGGAGGAGCTGCTGTCCCGTCAATCCTGCTGCCTGGCCCCAGCCTCCCGCTGCCCAGCCGGCTCCCTCGCTCCGCACGGGGTCTGCCTCGGCTCTGGGCTACCGTGTCCCTACCCTGGCCAGGGTGGATGTTCCCCTTTGGAAGGCAATGCCAGCTCCCCTGCAATTCAGTGCACAGCCCCTACACCTGCAGATACCTGCACGGGAGGCGGCTGCTTCTCCTGCTGTTTGCTGACCCCTCTTCTTTCATTTACACAGAGCAGTTTCAGCACAGCTGGGGCTTCCTTCGGAAAACCATCCTTCAGCTTGAGTTGGAAGAAATCCTTCAACAACTACACTACTTAGCAAAAGAAATCTGTGTCCAGGTCGGCACGCTGGGCCCTGAGCAGGCTGTCGAGCACAGAAATCCCCCATCCCCTTTGCACGGCCAGTGTGACTGAGCAGCCCCAGGGCTGCAGAAGGACACTGGCCCAGGGGATGTGACGAGCACATGGGGAGCAGCAGGGATGGGGATGGCCAGGGAGTGAGGACAGGGCAAGGCAGTGCTTGGGGGACTCAGGTGGGGAGGAGAAGCCACGAGGACAGCTTTGTGAGGGGTCACAGCTTTGCGTGTGCTCAGAGCAGACTCCTTCAGCATCCTGAGCATGAGCTGAATGCCAGCGGGGCAGAAACGTGCCCAGTTCAACCAGACATTGCAAGCAGGGGAGACTACAAAGTCTCTGATGTCGCATGATGTGCCGTGCCAAATACAAGCACGTTAAACTGCCAAGCCCCAGACCAGACATCTCAGCTCACAACGGCAGCAAACTCCCTGATTTCACCTACTTCGCACCCAAAATGGATTGAGCAAAGCAGTACAAACAACATGACAACTTTCACCGGGGTTTGTACGCAGGGCCTGAGAGCAGTTCACCACATCAATCCACTTTCACATCTAACCTCCCATCACCCCAAGCAGGAACAGAGCACCCTGGTCAACCTGCGGGTCTGGGGAGCCTTGGCAAGACCCCGCTCCCTTCGCCCAGTGCCGTCCTCCCACGGCTCTGCGCTCCTGGCAGGCCTTTAGCTGCTTTTTGAGGGCTGACCTGTAATTTTAAGTGATGCTGGGAGTCAGTGTAACCCGAAGACAAACAGGACAGATGTGAGCAGCCCATGGAAAATGCCGTGTACGAAAACTGAGACTGAGATCTAGGAGGGCTTAATGAACGGGACTGGGAATAAAAGCCATTTGCTATGAAAACAAAAACAAGCCAAAAAGCATCCCTGAGAAGGAAACCCTAGAACAGCTAGGAGAGGATAAATGAGATTAAAAAAACTAAACTCAGCCTGTAAAACACCCTTCTCTGTTGAAAATCAGGTAAGAAGAAGAGGCTGGAAGCCGAGCCAGCAATCCATCTAGCTCCTGAGAAACTGGAGCTCAGCTCCAAGTCTGGCACTGGCTGTAATCAGAAGCCAATCCAGGATTTTTTTTTGAAACAAGGGAGAGAGATCAAATGGAAAGCCAACCAGTTACCTACAAAGGAACTGCCAAAACTACACACTCTCTCCCTTTTCATGCCTTCCGCCCCAGCAGCCAGGGGTAAAATAGCAAAGACAACAGTTGGCTCATTTATTTCCAGTCCCCTGAAGTCCCGCCAGCTGGTTTACTCCACTTTGATACCTGTTAAAAGCATCCCTTGGTGATGTAGCATCTTTTGGGAATCCCTCTAGCCTAGAAGGCCTTGTCTGCGAGAGGGCTATAAGAAAAAGTCCCTAAAAAGCCACTTACCTGCCCCCCCTGCAAGGCAGCCTCTGAGCTGTCCCAAAAACACCCCCTTTGGTTTGGACTCCTACCTGCCTGGCTCCTGCCCCAAAATGGCTCGTGGCCCTAAGGAGAGGGGAGAGTTTTGTAAGCTTGGCCCCAAACCATGCTAGGTCTGGAGCAACAGTGCAGGCTTCATTTCAAAATTCTTGGTGAGTGCCCGAGAAGGATGTCTGTGCATCGCAGCTGACCTCTGCATTTTGTATCTTCTCCAATGCTCCTAGGTGCAGACTTAGACCGGGTTTTTCCCCCACACTCGTGTAAGCAAGGGCCTCACCCTACACATGAAACAGAGCTACGTTTCTTGTACATCAAGGGATTCCACAAGCTGGGAGTTTATGAAAAAACACCAAATTATACAGGATTTGCAGCAAAAGCTCACAACACTGCAGTTAACTGCTTATTGCTCTCCCTGGTTTTCGCTTTCTCTCCTAAACACTTCAAAGTATTTCAAATTCGAAATGTCCCACAGCAGCACATCCCTGCCCCTCCAGGCAGCTCTCCCCGGAAGCCCAGCATGTCTAGGGTCATGGCTCATGCAGAAGCTCGGGTGAAAGCTCTCCTCTCCTTTTCACAACCTGCACAAGTTTCAAAACTTCTGGAGACGTTTCATGCCAAACACAAGAGCTCCCATTCTAGCCGTCCCTCAATGTCCTCGTTATCAGCTGCTGTCAAGGGACAGCGAGGACAGGCAGGGGAAGAGCAGAAAACACATCTCCTCTCCCAGCATTGCGCTCCTGGCTACTCACCACTGGCTGTGCTAAGCCCCGACCCTCACAGGCCCTCGCAGGAGTCACAAACCCGACGGTGCTCAGTGTTACGGCTGGTGCCGTGGCTGTGCCCCCCTGCAGCAGGTTACTACAGTTTTGGGCTGAGTCAGCCACGTGGAAATGTTGTGCTCATTAGAAACGAGGGACTGGGGATGACCTGCTGATGGACTTGAGGCTCCTCTGGACCAAGAGCTGGCTTGGAAAGGATGCTCCCTGTGCCAACCAGGCTGCTGCATCCGAGGGGGGGCCAGCAAAGCAACTACAGGAGAGGCCCCTGGCTCCCCAGTCCGCATCAAGCCTAATTCACCCCAATGAAGTGAACTCCAGCAGACATTTCCACCTCCAGCACTTTCCCAGGGAGAGCAATGAAGTATCTTCATCTCGGAGCATCCTTTACTCCGCTTCATCGCTTTCAGTCCATCCAAACCAGAAGGGTGAGCTAAAAAAAAGGGCTTTTCTACTTTTGAAGGTGCTGATAAGATTTGGCACAGGGAAAAATGCTCTCCTGAACACAGGTATTGTGAACAGCTGGAGTTCATTCCCCTTAGTAATAAGTTACACCCCTCTGTTAGCAATAACCCCCTCAAGGGAAGAGTGGCATCTGGGAAACATTTAGGGCACACGCCATTTCCCTGTGAGGCCACTGGTTTTGGGTGCCTGTCTGAGATACATCTCTGGGGTCTGACCCTCGCCTGGGGTGCAGGTAGCCCTCGGCATCCAGGGCCACTGCTAGCAAGGTAAAGGCAGCGAGAGCCTCTTTGTGCCTGCAGAGGGGATCTGCCCAACGTAAGCAGACAGGAGAAAAAGTCTCCTTGGGTCCAGAGATTCCTGGATAGAGAAATCAGCTATCCATCAGAGTGACAGCCCTTAGCAAGCAGGTCCCCTGGGGCTCGTACGCTCACAAGGCTCCATCCCGGGGGCCGCGACACGGGAGACAGCAGATGGTCTGAACTCATTTAAGCCTTTCCATCCTTTGATGTAACACTTAGCCACCAACACGATAAATAGGCAGCGAGACACCCATCTCGTTAAGCCAGACACACGCCTCTCGAAAGGGAGAGACGGTCTCCATCCCTCCCCTCCCATTTCCAGGGACTGGCTCTCTGCAGCTCCGAGGGCCTGGGGCTTTTTTGGCCCAGCACAGCCCTCGCCGGTGGGTCGAAGTGAGGAGCGGAGGCATGCTGAGATCCGACGCACTCACACCCCCTCGTTTTGGCAGCTGCCCCCCAAGCCCTGCCACCGGGCTCATCCCCTCTGCCCCATCCACACCTCCATGGAAAGAAAAACCCAGTTCCTTACCAAGCTTGGGCAGCTCTGCCGGTGCGTTTATCCTTGTCTCTGTCCTGCTTTCTTTGCTGGCAGCGGGTTTGTTAGAGCCTGCAGTTTTCCTTCCACCTTTACAGGTATAGGAATCCGCCATCTCTGAAAGAAGCAGGGGAGGCATTCAAATTCACTCCTCGGAGCCGGGAGCAACACATGCTGAAAGCAAGGAGAGGTGCTGGGGAGGGAGGGAAATTAGAAAACTATCACGCAGCTTAAAGCTTCCCACAAAGAGAAGAAACGGAATGTGTTTCCGAGCATTTGTTCTACAGTCGAGCAACGCCATAGACATGGCTGAAAAGCTACTTTCATTATAGGCTGGTTTCCCCTCCACATATAACAGCAAAGACTTTATTAAAAATTACAGGCTGACTTTGCCCAGAGAAGTAGCGAATAAATGGCTTTTCCTCTTCGTTTATTTCTCTGCTTTCATTTAAGACACCAAAAGAAAAAAAAAAGTGAGTTTTAATGAACAGATGTAGTGATAAATTTCCAATTTTCCTTATTAATGGGAAACTGTTATAAACTGAGAATTGTTAATGTTATCTGAATTTTCCGTATTAATAATTCAATTTGGCTTCTCTATAAATAATGAACATCAGGAATTATCGCAGAAGGCTCGGTCTTGCTCCCAACAGAAGCGGGCAGCAGGACACCTCTCCACTTTGGCATCGCCAGGATGAAGCCCACGGCGCGGCTGGTTCTGCCCCCCGTCGGTTTTAAGTACCTTCCTCCCCTCCCGACAGCATGAGCAAAGACACATCTGAGGACGGGGGCTGCATCGAGAGATGCCGCATACAGCCCCAGGGGAAAGGAGCCCTCCACACCTCCACAACGAGAGCATTGAGCCCTCGGGAGGCGATTCCCCGGACCACCATGGCCTTGAGACCTTGATCAGGACGCGATGCTGATGCTCAGCCAGGCACCAGCAGCGTGACTAAGAGAAGTGCCAACTGATACCTTCTTTGCTTTTGCTCGACACTTCTCTCCCACACACATGGGTTTTTTAAAACACAGATCTGACTCGTCACCCCCAATCCCTCCCACGAGATCACGTTTAGCATTATTTAACTCTGAAAAGAGTTGATGCCCTGAGCATCCAAACTTATCCTCCCTGTCCGGGCAGCCCAGAGGGATGGCACAGGTCAGGGGAGCATCTCCCGTGTGCCTGGACTGCCGGCTATGTCATCAACACGTGGGACATGAGGGTGCAACAGTCCTTTCTGAGGTGCCCCTAGGGACTTTCCGTGCAGGATTGGGCACTGTGCATCGCATACAGCCCAGATGCTCCAAGAACTGGCAAACGCTTCTGGCATGTGTTTGGCGGGTGACACATATGTGGTTGTTTGCACGGACAGAAAGGTTAATCGGATCAAGTGAGAAATTCCAGCCTTGGCAACAGGTTCTCTGGCATTTGGTGCTGAACATCGGGATCGTTTATTCAGCTAATTTAGGCTCTTTCGGTGGGAGACCTGGGTAGGAGCTGCAGCCTGACTGCCAGTGGCTCCTTCCCAGGGATGGCTGGTCTCCGGAGCAGGCACAGAGAGGGGTCCCTGCGGCCCCTTCCCAAATCACCGCTCCGCTCTCACCCGCATGGGCACTGCTACAGTCCCCGATCCTCCGAGGACAAACATGCCAGTCCCCTCCTTCCTGTGCTGCCTCCTGGCACCTCTGCTCCTCTGAGCAATCCTCAGACAAGTTGCTTGAAGAGAAAAAAAAAAAAAAAAAAGACTCACAAAAGACCAGCGAACTGCAAGCTGAAATCGACACGATCTCTGCGCTTTACAACAGGGTGAAAACCAAGGGGAAACCCATGCAACTGATGCCTTAATCCAAACTGGGCTAGTGCCAAAACACAACCGTGCCGTGGCTTTGCCCCTTGGGCCGGACACACATCCCAGCAGGAAAGACCAGCGCCGGGGCCCCCCCACACCAAACGGCACCCACCGGCACGCTCACACCCCGGCGCAGGCAGGCAGGGCTGCCATCTGACAGGTGACAGACCACAAAACCTCTGCATCTGCCTTGCTGGGCAGCTTGAGGATGACTTGTGAAGCGCAGCGCAGAGGGCAGACCTCACCAACAGCCAGGCTGCCCACCTCCTGCTCACTGAACACCCCGCGGCAGTGCACACCAAACCACGCGAGCCGGGGCTGATGCCGAGCATCCCTTCCGAAACCACTGCCGCGTTCAAGGTGCCCGGCTCAGCTTTGCTCCCCAACGCTTCTTGTTCCCCTTAACACATCTGTCCCCTCAAAGGGATCCTTTCTGGCCAGCTTAAGAGGTTTTGAACGCCTTTTGTTTTTCCACACCAAATACTTCTTTGAATGTTGTTCCCTCCTTATTTTTTGGCTAAATGAAAAATAAAAATCCCATAAACCACTTAGTGAGAGCCAAACTCTGCTCCCTGGCCACTGATACAACCCCAGGGATCCCAGAGGAATTGCCCCAGAGCCAGAGAGCAGAAATCAGCCCATTGTTTTTTTGTGGGGCTTTTTTTTTTTTTTTTTTTGTAATGTCCAAACTTCTCACTCATTTTTGAGTAAGACATGCTGAAACCGGACAACAGCCCGCACCCTTCCATGCTTTCATTATGTTTTTGGTTAAAACCCTTTTGCAACTGGCAGTGGGAGAAGATATTGGCAGGTCCTGCCTGTGAGCGGGGCTAGGATGTGGCACAGGAAGGTCGGGGCTGGCAGCGTCTTCGCTGATGAAGCCCCCAGCTCGGCTGTAGGCGCCTTTTTAGAAGTTCGCAGCAGCATTTTTGAAGCGTCCCACTCCAGCTCCGGAAAAAAAAAACCTCGTGTCAACAGGGGAGCCAGCGTAGGATGAGCAGAGGCCAAGTTGGTGGTGCTGGGAGCAGGGGCGAGGAGGAAACCTGTGGCTGCGGGAAGCAGGGAGCAAAGCCTGGGAACCCAGCATGTGAAAGGGACTGCTCCCAAGCCACCGGCAGCCCTGCCCGGCTGGCACGGCCAACGCTCCTCTGCCGGTTTGACGAGGGATGGCAACGTCCCAGCCACTCGCAGGCCCAAAAGGCTCTTTCCCTCCGTGACAGATCCCTCCTGCCGAGCTGCCGGGCTCTGCAGGCTGGGCACAGCCTGGAAATTGGGCATAAACTGGAAAAGGGGAAATAATTCCATGTATAAATGCCCGTCTGTGACCTTGGATTGAGTCCATGGGAGTATGTGTGCAGCCAGGGATGGCCGTGACCCTCTCAGCCCGACGACGTCCTTATGGCTTGTTACAAAGGGAAAAGTCACCTGTGGGTTCTGACCACAAATTCTCCCGCCCCGGTCCCATTGCTACGGATGCACTGTTCTGCGCACCGACCGGCCCGATCGCCCGTCGATCCGTTCCACTTATCGTTAATAATTTACCAACGGCTCCAGATGTAGGCAACGCCAAAAAGGCAAGCGAGCTGCCCGCCCCTGCCTGCGGTGCCCTGGCACAAGCAGTGTGACAGGCAGGGTGCAGGCAGAGATGCGACGAGGCCAACGCGGATGATGGACGCCAAAGGGCACTGCCGTCTCCGTCGCTGCCGGAGGAGCCATGCTCCCTCCCATGAACTCGAAGCCGAACCACAGCTGCGGCCACGCGCTGGGAGAAACTTCCCGGGAATCAAGACGAGGAAGTGGCGGGAGAGGCTTCCTCGGGAGGGAGCGGAATCGCCCTCGATGGAAGTTTCCCCAAGAGGGACCCACATGGCGGGTGAAGCCTCGCAAGCCGATCCCTCCCCGGGCACGGTCGGTGACTGGGCGGCTCCGGAGCCAGGCGGTGCAGCCCCTCGCCATCGCCCATGCCAAGCGAAGGCCGGTGGCTGCTCCCGGCGAGTCTCTCCTGGAGGAAACCTCTCACCCCGCCGGCGTGAGGCCACCGTGCTCCCGCCAAGCGGCTCCGTCTGGGTGCCCAGAGGAGGCTTTTCGATGGTTTAAAGTTTCTGTCCGAAGCATGTTAGCCAGTCCGTCCCCCCCCTCGCCCGTCCCCAGGCACAAAAGCAAAGGGGAAAAGCACAGGCACACGCTCGGCAGACAGACAACGAGACCTCGTCGTGCCGAGGTGGGGACCGGGGCGTCCCCCCACCACTACCCCGGGCATCCCGGGGGCCAGCGGGGACAGGGACCCCTGCCCTGCCTGGTCCTGCTGTCACCTCCCCGGGCCTGGCCGGGCCATCGTCCCTGTCCCTGTCCCCTCAGCCGTCCCACCCCGCCGTTCACCGGTCACCGAGCAGGCAGGGCCGCCCCGGGGCCTGTCACCTCCCCGGGCCTCACCGGGGGCCGCCTCGGCCGCCTGTCAGCCAGCCGGGCCGC